TCTCTCTCTCTCATACGCATACCTGACAATTGAACCTAGTGGGAATAGCAGCTTTTGTTGTTGATAATTAGCTAAGCCATAAGGAACGGTAAAAATGGGGGCCCGCGCTCATTAGCAATCGACTCGACTCGGCTCTATATATAAGTCATAAATGAAATAAATCTCCCAGCTCAGTCGGATGGCATAAACACGCTTTGAAGTGCAAATTACCCGCGGGGTCAGCCAATCGAACTCAGTTGGAGGGCGGGGCGGGGCGGGTTCCGAGGCGGCTGTATCAGAGGTCGAGCACAGGAGGCAGTTAACAATGCTCGGTCATAATACATCTTTGAAAATCTGTTTAATGGCCAAGCCGAACCACTTGAGAAGCTTTTGAAGCTGTCGATATTCTAAATTTAAACAAATAAACAAACACACTTACACACACACACACAAAGGCACCTGGACTGTTGTTGAAAGTTTATTGTTTTTGAAAAATGAAAAGGAAAAAAAAAACTGTTTCTTTGCACCTTGAGCATCCGTTAATTTGCCACTTGAAAAGTGCAAATCTTTTGATTGATTGTCAGCAAAACAAATCGAGTGAAGAAATCGGCATTAGCGCTTTCTTATAGATCATATCAAACAGTACCCCCAACGCACCCCACCTGTGCATCGGTAATTACCTGTGGCCATTCGATACGGAAACAATTAGCACCTTCAAATTTATACACCTGATTCCCTAGCTGTTGTTGATTCTATAATGGAACTCAATCAATTTTGGATTCTTTAATAATTGAAGCAAATGCAAGTACTTTTATTATATACATATACTCATATATGATTGAATATAGAATTTCCATTTCTATTGAGCGCGTATTTGAAAAACGTCAATACCCGACTGCAAATCTCTTACTCATTATTAAATATTTTCAGCAATTGCTGTGGCTAGACATATTAACAAGATTGGTTTATAATAACAATTAAAATATATTTCTTTGTTGAATATTATGAAATGAACATTGCGCCATTTCTATTTCGTAAACAAATTATTTATGCTGCAAAAGCCAAAGATTGAATACAAAATATTTATTTAACGCAACTACATATTAAAAAACAAGAAATAAAAATTTATTTTTATCATAAAGCTAACCTTACATAAACTTGAGGAAATATGGCTTGTGTACTATATAATCTATATATATAAAAGAAAGTTGTGTAAAAGTGAAGACTGCTTATAACTTGATTTRGGCYGAWYYAATTTKCATGGYTTTTGATTTGTTGGATTTGTCTCCGCAACGAGTTTAGTATAGGGTCTTAAAAATACTGAAAAAATTTGCCGAATACTTGAAAAACGCGGTTTTTTCCCCAAATGTTCAAATTTTTTTTATACCCAGTAGGCTTGGTAACAGTGACAGTTTTGACAATAGTGTAGAAGTAAATAAACAAATGTAGTCAGTCAGTCTACGGTCTCCTGACCTCGAGCAGACCTGACTATTCAAAAAAAAAA